CTCAACTGAAACAAATCTTCAAAGTGGTTGTCCTCACTAAGAGAGAGACTTATACTCCCAGTGTTCAAAATGTCTACGCGATTATTCTACTTAGAGCAAGTGAAAGGCTCAGGAGATGTTTTGAAGAAGCTGTTTACAAATACAATAAAGAAGAAAGGTAGAAGCCAATATGAAAAGCAGTGTCGGTGACTTGAGAATTGGACTAAAAATGCCGTAGCTGGCACAAATCAAACAGCCGCGTACGCCACAAGTCAATTGAGTCGTTTTTCTTTCCCGCTGTTCATTGTATTAGGCAAATAGATCAGTCCATGTTCCCGTGCTTCAAATTCGAGGACGAGGACGACTACGAGGACGACATTTAGTTTTAAGTTTTCTCGCCTACTCTCTAAAAATAGACACACCGGAAAGCTTCATTGTACCTTTTTCAACACAAAAGTTAGTTCGCTTATTTCCTTTGAAGGAGGTAAAGCCCTCTCCCGATCGCTAAATGATAAAATTCCTAACATTTGATAACTTGTTTTCGCCACTACGACATTTTCTTTAAAACTTGTAGTAGAATAACGACGGCTACCACATTTTCCCTCCAAAATGACGTTGGTTCGCGCGCGCGCACTACTTAGTATTGAGAAAATCTCGTTCTCGTTGTCGTCCTTATCTCAGAATCAAAAGCTCTCTAATAATGGGATCACAAAGGACGTCAAAATGTGGTAAGACTTGCAACATTTTGACGTCATCTGTGATCTAATTCTGAACAGATGAAGGGGAAAATAAAATCTCTTTCTTCAAATAATGACCTACAAAATTGTTTAATAAACAGCTCGCGTGGTAAGAGGGAGATCTAATAAAGCAACGTTAAGGATAAATTCGGAGTGATATTAAGCAACTATCTGAGGCACACGGACTTCGATTGAAACCTTGCATGCGATATCGTAATGATAGGCCATTCTTGAGGCTATGAACAATTCACGGTCATTACCTCTCGTCCTTGACCAACCTTAAATAGGGCGTTTACGCAACGACGACGGCGACGGCAACGAGAACAGCAGTTTCCTCATGCACTTTCTGCTTCCAGCATGAAGAAATATCTTGACAAGACAACTTTTTGAAGAGCGCAGTTTATTCAGCGTCCTAACGGTTTTCACTACAAAGTTACACTGCACAATGAATAATAATTTTAGCGTGATCTGCAGCTAATTGAATATGAACAACGAATGGTCTGTATTGGGAATAACGATCTAAACAATGGTAGGCTAATTGAATATGCAACAGCGTATTCCAACATCCCCCCTCTTTTAGAGATGATGACATCAGTGACTAGAAAACTTAGCATAGGATTCTTGCACCCGTGTACTCTAAAGTTGGAACACATTTCACACCCTCGTATGCGCTAAAGTTGACATGCTGATCCGAAAACTTGTCACACGTTCACGAACAAAGGAAAAGAAAACTAATGATATTCTTGTCATGAAAAGCTATTACAGCTACAATTACTAATACGACACACTACGACACACTACGACACAAGTACATTTCTCTTAAATTGTTATAGTGTCTCTAGATTTGTTCAATTAGTCTCGTAGGTGGTCTAATAGCACGTCGCGGACGAGACAACGCAATTCCGACCGAGGTCTTTTCCGGCACACACTGTTTGGGCAATGGCTTTTGTGATGGCTGGTCAGCGACATCAGCAGCTGTTGAGCTGAGATGTTTGACAAGTCCAGGTCTTGGAGACTTTGGTTCTGTTCCAAGAATTGATGGGGCCTGGTACAATTCTTCTGGTTGGATCTTAATCGCTGAACGAATATGGCGACGATTCCTGAAGTACCGAGCACCGGATTCAGTCTGTACCTCATATCGCGTGGGCGAACTTTCACTTGGCTGCTGTACTACCGCGGCTTTCTGCCAGATTGGTTCCTTGGGATCTAACTGGAACCGGACACTCTGAAATTGTTGTAGTTCTTGAAGTAGTCATCACGTTGGGCTTGTTTCTGTGCTATTTGCTCCTCCCTGCTGATCTCTAGATTGGGATGCAAATATTGATGGATAGGAAGGAGTACTCTATATTTCCGCTAGGAAAGCATCTCTCCTGGGCTGAGCTGACCCGGTCTGATTGGGGTCGCACGATAAATCAGCATTGCAAGATGTGGATCCGAACCCGACTCTTCGGCCTTCTCCATTATGCCCTTTACGACTTTGACCATGGCCTCAATGAAACCATTCGACTGAGGATACCTTGGGCTAGAGTGTTGCACTTCGAATCTGTACTGCAGGGCAAATTTTTTGAATTCTTGGGACACGAACTGGGTTCCCTGATCTGTGTACACCGTTGATGGTACCCCATATTCTAAAAATATTGTCTTCAGAAGACGTATCACGTGTCCCGCCGTCTGACTTGTCAGTTTCTTTACGAAAGGGAACTTGTTGAAGTAGTCGGCAACCAGCAGGTAGTGGTGAGAACGATGCCCAAATATGTCAACTTCAAGTTTGAACCATGGCAAGCTGGGCACATCATGCGGTACTAGTGGTTCCTTCCGTTGAACAGGCTTGTATTTCATGCATACGTCACATAATTTAACTGCATTTCTCACATCATCCGAGATTCCGGGCCAAAAGACTGTCTCTCGTGCTCTCAACAGAGTTTTCTCTTCTCCTTAGTGGCCCGCATGAAAGAACGAAAAGGGAATGAAGATCATATCGATCATATCGATCCGTTAGATACTCTGCTCTCAGTGAAGTTGGAATCACAAGTCGATGTGCTTTGAATATCAGGCCATCTTCAACTGCAAGTTCTTCACGGTAATTCCAATATTGTTGCAATCGTTCTGAGAGTTGCTGCCCCTAAAGCGGCCAACCGTGAAAGATGTAATGCCTTAACTGGTTCAAGGCTGGATCAGCAGTGGTGGCAATTCTGGTTCTGTCAAGTCGGTTGTCTGTGGCTGGAACAGTTAAAGTGATGTGATGCACTGGAATCACATCCATCTGCTTTGAGTCCATAGGCTTTGGACTGAGAGAGTCGACTCGACTCAGGGCGTCTGCAATTGAGTTGTCCTTCCCACAGATGTACTCGACTTGAATTTCGTATGTTGCAAGCCTCAGAAGAAGTCGTTGAAGTCTCGGGCTGGCAGTGGCAATACTCTTCTTCCAAATCATTTCTAGACGTTTGTGATCTGTTTGAACTCTGATTGGTTCACCAAACACTTAGTTGTGAAGCCTCTCCATGGCGAACACTACTCCTAGCAATTCCCTCTCGATGTTGGAATAGCGTTCCTCAGCGGGAGTGAGAGATCTGGATACGTAGATCACTGGTTTTCCTTCTTGCGGCAACTTATCCTCACATGGAAGCGTCAGTCTGAATAACGTGTTCTTCTTTCCAGTCAAAGTACGCGAGTACTGGGGTCCTGGAGAGCTCGTCTTTGATGGCATCGAAGGCATCTTGATGGGAAGAGTCCGAGGTCCATTCCATTTCTTCCCGAAGCAGCGGTTTGAGTGGTTTGAATAGTCTCGTCAACTTGGCTGAGTAGCGCTTCAAATAATTGACCATTCGTATAAACATAACATCTTTCTTTAATTTTCCAGACATGTTTCGACGGTACATCTATCATCTTCAGTGTTACATATTTTGAAATCGCCGTTGAATTTAAAGCGCGCGCGATCTTACAAAGTTCGTTACATTGCGTTGTCAATATTGCGTACTAAAACAAAGTTAAATGAGTGACGCTTAGTTCTTTACAGGGAGAGAGTCAGGTTAATGTGTTTCACCTGCTGGTTGAGATCGGGCTTCTCCCATTTTATAAACATGGATTCCTTAAGCTTCACTTGGTACTTAGTGGCTGCAGAGTCCAGGATCTCGAAGCAATCCGGTGTGCAGGATGCTCTACAAAACTCTGAACCCTGCAGATGTTTAAAAACGTTCGAAGACCTGTCTGAAAGTAAGTGCTCGCGCACTCGTGTGGAGAAGTGTCGGCTGGTTTCACCAACATAACAAGCATTACAACTTGCACACGAAAATTTAAAGACCACACGCGTGCGTAGCCCCTCAGGGACAGCATCTTTCACATTAAAAAGATTCCTGACTTTGACAGTAGTAAAGACTAACCTTAAATCAATAGGTTTACATAACTGACTGATGTACCGTCGAAACATGTCTGGAAAATTAAAGAAAGTTGTTATGTTTATACGACTATCTATATTGTTGCTGCTATCTAGACCAATTGACCATTCCCTGGAAACTCTGCAGAGCTTTCTTGTCCTTTGGTGCTTTCATCTGTTTGATGGCCTCGACCTTTTGTCGTTGACCTTCATATCCTTTGGCGTGATGGTCTGTCCGAAGAAATCGCATTTGGTTGTTTTAAACTGCAGCTTCTTTGGATTGAACTTAATTCCGTTCATTCGTGCCGTTTCGAGTAACTGGAGTAGATTAACGTCATGATCGTTGGAATCTACCGCTCTCGTGATGATGTCGTCGATGCATCCCGTGATTCCTTTTACTTCTTTAAGGCCTGCATTCAGCCTCTCCTGAAATACGTCTACGCTGACTTTAAGACCAAAGGGAAGTCGGAGCCACTTGTATTTCCCCCATGGAGAGTTGAAGGTAGTTGAAGGTAGTTGGGAGTGAACTTGTCCAATTCTACCATAGAGTACCCTGACTTGGCATCAACAAGCGTAAAATATTTTCCTCCGTGGAGTTCAGCAATAACTTCATCGATAGTCTTTGTGTGGTACTGGTTCCTTTTGATGCTCTTGTTAAGGTCCTTTGGATCTAGGCGTAGTCGAATTGATCCATCAGGCTTAGAGACAGGAAGGACGCTGTTGATCCAGTCTGTGTCTCCCTGAACTGGTTCAATGATTCCCGAACTGCACAATCTTTCAAGCTCTTCTTTGTATGCTGCTTTCTTCTTCGCAGGTACTGCTCGAGGTGGATGTTGTACAGGTTGTGCGTCTGGCTTGAGCTGGATATGGTACTTGCCCCCTGGTAGTTTTCCTATACCTTCGAATGAATCTCAGAATTCGGATAACACGTACTCCTTTGTTATGGGCAAACTGTGGCTCTTTCCATTCAGGATGACAGCATCATCCAACACCTCACATGTAGGCTTGTTAACCTAACTGGAATCTGCTCGCAGGACGTTAACACTTGTATGGATTTGCGGCGTACTGGTTAAAGAAGGCGGAGTTACCTCTGGAAAGGCAAAGTAGCCGACTTGCTGGGCTGTTTCTCTGCCTAGGATGAGATACGCTCGAGTATCAGTCACTTGACAAGTCGCCATCTGTGGCTGTTGTCTTTCACCAGTATGAATCGCAATAGTGCACGCTCCTAGGTTTGCTACAGGAGATTCTCCATATCCAAATATCTACACAGAGGTAGGGGTAAGAATCTTGTCTCCAAATAAGGATTTGTGCAGATACAAAGGCATCACGTTGCATCCTGCGCCTGTAGCGATCTCGCATTCAACCTGATATATCGGTCCTCCACTTGCTGTACTTAACCAAAGAGGCTTGATCTGCTTGCTTGAAGTATCATTAATACTCTTCACATGAAAAGTCTGAATATGGTGAAACATTGTGTGCTGGTCATCCTGTGGTACATGTGGACCAAACATCATGTGGTAGTCCTCTGCAGGATCACGAACTGAAGTCTAATTGGCACTAACTCCTGTTAGCGGTGCTTGTAAACCATGTACCTGAACCTGCCTAGGTTCACCAGTTGTACCTTGTTTACCTGTTTTGCTCTTGCAGCACTTTTTGTAATTTCCTTTCTTTCTACACTTGTGACTTGTAACATCCTTGGCCGGACACTGCGATCTGGGGTGAGCAGGCTTTGCTCCACAACAAAAACAACTTTGTCTTTTTGTCTCACCATGCTCTTTAGTTTTCGACGTCTTGTCTCGATTTGACCACTTCGTTGACTTTCCGCCTTTTTGATGCTTTGCTTGCACTTTGTGAATCTGTGTTTATCCTTGCTGGTTTGCAGTTGCTGCTGCAGTTGCTGTACTGAGAGTCTGCATAATTGATCTTTGACAATCGCTGTTGTACAAGAGAGTTGCAATTTCGACCACTCGTTCGGCGGTAAGCAAGTCCTGGTCTTCTTCCAAACACTTTTGATAAACTTTTGGATTCTTTAGACCGAGGAGGATAGCGTTCCTGAGAGCCATGTCCTTCGCGTCTTCTGGTCATCCCCATGCATCAGTGATTTGCCTGCACTTTTCGATGTACTCTGGTAATTCCATATCAACTTGAGTGAGTACTTTGTACTGTGTGGCCGCGACTAGTTTGGTCCCGCTGGGTTTGCATTGCTCTTCCACCTTTCTGAGATGTATCTCCCATTTCCTGCGATCATCGGATAAAATTGTTGCCTTGTCAAAAATATTTTGTGCGCGTTCACCGGACCACTGATAAATGCATAGACAAACAAACTCCGGGTCTGCCTTGGTCATTACAAGACCTCTGCATAAAATCGACACCTTCTTTTTCCATTCTAGGAAACGCTCGTGAAGTTTTCCTTCGTTCGTCCAATCCAAGATTGGTCCTTTCGCGAGAACTTCCCTGGTGAACTTGACGCCTGTGAAAACAAACATATTCGCTCGAACTCTGTGATCGTCGATTAGCGATGAATTTGTTCGGTTTCCACATTGTAGTAGACTAGACTTTTACTCCTGACACCATGTTTCCTCATGCACTTTCTGCTTTCAGCATGAAGAAATATCCTGACAAGACAACTTTTTGATGAGCGAAGTTTATTCAGCGTCCTAACGGTTTTCACTACAAAGTCACACTGCACAATGAATAACAATTTTGGCGTGATCTGCAGCTAATTGAATATGAACAAAGAATGGTCTGTATTGGGAATAACGATCTAAACAATCGCCGGCTAACTGAATATGCAGAGCGTATTGCAACAGGTTTAGACAAGCAAAACAACAAATTTGCACGTTCATCACGCTTTTTTGTACATTCCCTGCTGTCGTTGCACGACTACAACTTGAAACTGCCTAATTTCACGTTTTTCTTTTCCTGAACTTTGATGCAGTCCTTTAGAATTCAACCCCCCCAAAAATTGCAAACATTTGACGAATTAAAGGGGATGGAATAAGCGCGATAAAGTTTGAGGCAACGCAAATTCACTTTTTAAGTGACGTTTTCGTAGCCGTCGTCGTCGTTGCGTAAACTCCCTAATGATACCTTTAAACTATTGACTTTTGTCTTTGCATCTTACAGTGCGACTTCTATAACCGGGGCCACCTAGACAAAGTTGACCAATCGGGTACAGGAAAATAACAATACACTCCAAGAAAGTTAGTTGTCAATCATAATTACCACGGAACGAAATCAACAACATGGATCGAAATCAACCAATTAAAACCTATAGACGTGAACTTTGGAACCCGCTAAAGAAAGCCTATGTTTCCTGAGGGGTCCGTTAGAATGTTGACGGAGGTGAAAAATGTAAATGTTGTTCATATTTTTGACTTGAGGTCGCATGTTTATATCTTCAAAGTGCGACAATGGTAGCGAAGAAATTGCTGGTCGATGCCACAATAACAGCTTGTGCCGAACAAATATGTTTCCTGGTGTTATATTCCAAGTTTCGAAAAGAAAAACATTGACTGGTTAAAAACATTTTGCTCTCTTGAAAAACGTTTGCTATCAATATTTGAATTTTGTGCTTCTTGCAACTTATTGTTTTTTTACGAGCTGCTGATGGGCCCACAACCACCTTTCTTGGAATTATGTATCGTTATTTTCATGTAATCCGATTGGTCAACTTTGTCTAGTTCGTCCCGGTTACAGTATTCGCACTGTTACAAACGAAGTTCTTAAAAAAGAAAGATCAAACTTAGTAGCTGTTGAATGAACCTGTTTAGTTTCCCTTATGAAGACTCGGGGTACTTGTTATGAATAATAATGACTTATGAGTTTGTATTGAGATACAATAACTTTATACAAAAAAGACAAAAATTAGTTCAGTTGTTTCTCTGTTGCATTTATAGCTATTACGTAACTGTTTGAAATTAAGTTAAATTAAGCTTTGCCTCCTTTTCCTATAAACAGAAAGCATTCACTTATCACTAGTAATAGTTAACACTAGAGCTGCCCCCGCTCTGTATATTTTCTGTCAATAGTATTCTTGCTCGTTGAGTAGCTCTTTGAAATATACCCGTCCGATTCACAATGAAGATTTCCATACAAATAACATACAATAGCTGAGGTAAATACAGGAAACGCAAGGTTCCATGCACAGTTTCTGTTCGATTTACACAGCTTTGATCAAAACATTCTCAGTTTCGAGAATAGTTTATTCTAAACCATAAGATAAGATTTAATTAGAAGTTGAATTTTTCGCTATTTCTCTCACACTTTTTACATTCAGTTCATTTTATTTGGCGGAAAGTAATCCTTAGAGATTAAAAGGACGTTTGATCAATTCACGCTCGCGTATTCTAGTCTTATTTTAAACGTTAAGGCGGAAGGACATCTGTGAGCAGGGAATAAGTCAGCACAGAATTTGATTGTCGGCGAATCAGTCTGTAATGGTCTATCGTTCTTCTAGAGTCAGGGCTACAGCCAGTTAGCCGGTTACGTAAAGGACGATATGTTTTCACGTCTTGTAGTTTCGAAATCTTTGGGACTTTAGTTTCTTTTCTTTTCGGGGTTCAGTCAAGCCCTATACTTTTTCTTCTAGGTTGTTGTATAACGTGTTGTTATATCTGCGGTGCTCGGCCAAAACAGCCAAAATGAACCTAATGGTTTTTCTAATTCACGTTGTACTGCGTAGTGGAGCCGAAATATTGAATTTCCGACGTTTGAGTGGATACGAATTAGCCGGAAATGAAATATTTCTGCCGCACGGGAGCAGTGGGGACTGGGGTAGTTGAAGTGCAGTATGGGTAGAATGGAGTGCTATATAAGGGATGGTTATCACGTGTGGCGAAGAATTCTAGGCCGACACCTCGTCTAGCTCACGTTATTTTTTATTAAGTTATTTTTTAGTACATATTTGATTTACTAGTGACAGTTCGAGTTTCGCAGGGGTTTCTTGGCTTGTTTGCATTTCCTTAAATTATTTAGAGTTTGCCGTCCTTTGTTGGAATACACGTTTTGTAAATAACGGCAAAGACCTTCCAGCCGTGTAGCCTTCGTAGGATGGGATTTTCAGAGCATGAGCCATGGATCCTACCCAGATTTCCTGCCGAGTTTTTTTTCCCTACTGGGGTTTTTTCCCGCAGGTTTTTTCTGGCCTCTGTTCTGACAGTATTCTGTAAACTGTCGCTCAGCTCTGTTCTAGTTTTTTTGTGTATGCTATAAATTTCCCAATATGTACAGTAGGGTTATATGTAAGCTTGTGATTAATGATATTCTTATGTCCTTTTTTACATTGTAAAGCGCTTAGAACAGCGATGTATAAGCGCCATATAAATTCCATTATTATTATTATTATTATTATTATTATTATTATTATTATTATTATTACCACATGTTTGAATGTAATAGGTTGTTGTATAAGGTGTTGTTATATCAGCGGTGCTCCACCGAAACAGCCAAAATAAACCTAATGGTTTTTCTAATTCATGTTGTACTGCGTAGTGGAGCCGAAATGTGACAATTTTCAAGATTCAATCCTATGCAAAAACTAATGTTGTCTAAATCCACTGTCACATTTTAAGGCAAGGAGCCCAAAAGTGTGACCACTTTTAATTTATTCACATTCTTTCATGTAGACATTAACCAATCAGAAGTTGAGGACAGTTTCCACCTAGCTTCTGACTGGATTAAATCTACATGAAAGAATGTGAATAAATCAAAAGTGGTCATACTTTTGGGCTCCTTGCTGTAAAGTATTTCCTTAGGCTGATAGTAGTAATTCATAATGTTTGATGCAAACATTTGCTTCAAACATGCTCAAACGATATTAAAAAATTGAACATTTATTAATTTTAATTGGTGCTTGATTTTTTTCTTTCCCCCACTCATAGCTTATCCATTCATCAATAATAGCAACAACATCATGCCTGTCCATGTTCTCCATAATGTTCTTAAATTTTTCAATGGAACTATTCTTTTGAGAGTCAAACTTCTGTAACATGCAATGCGTTGGCTGTCCCCTCTGTCGAAGGAAATAAATCTCATCACTACTGAGGCCAATTGTCTCTCCAAATGTTCGGAAATCATTCCCATGTGGTCGCTCTTCATCAAGCGTGGTACAAATTTTAGAATAAAACCGCTGTAATGGGATGGTTTCCATTTTTCTGTTTAAGAGGTTTTTCTGAAATCCATGGAAGTCTGATGCAGGGTTAACAGTGAGGGACTCATCAGGTAGTGAACATTTATTAGTTTCAATGGGTGCTTGGTTTTTTTCTTTCCCCCACTCATAGCTTATCCATTCATCAATAATAGCAACAATATCATGCCTGTCCATGTTCTCCATAATGTTCTTAAATTTTTCAATGGAACTATTCTTTTGAGAGTCAAACTTCTCTAACATGCAATGCGTTGGCTGTTCCCTCTGTCCAAGGAAATAAATTTGATCTCTATTGAGGCCAATTGCCGCTCCAAATTGTCGGAAATCATCCCAAAGTGGTCGCTGTGCATCAAGCTTGATACAAATCTTAGAATAAAATGGCTGTAATGGGATGGTTCCCATTTTTCTGTTTAAGAGGTTTTTCTGAAATCCATGGAAGTCTGATGCAGGGTTAACAGTGAGGGACTCATCAGGTAGTGAAATATGGTCTTTGTTGTCAACAGAAGGTAAGTACGGCTCTCTTGACTTTTTATTGCCTGTATATATGATACATGAAGATCTCTTCATTAATATCACACATTAGTATGATTACATTGATGATTATCGAAAATAGAGCGCTGTGATTATAACATTAAAGGCTAGCAGTTTTCAAAATGGCAGCCAGATTTTTGATGTTTCGGTGTCGGAAATTGATCAATAATTTTATTTTCTCGAATAATCATCAATGTAATTATACTAAAACAATTAGTAGCCTCAGGCGACGTAAATATCGATGAATAGTAACCTCGACTTCGTCTCGGTGAATATTCGCTGATATTAACGTCGCCTGAGGCGACTAATTGTTAATTAGTGCCCTGAATGGTGGACCAATAAGGCCTTGAGGTTAGGGGAGGGGTACAGTCTGCAGGCCTTAATTAGTTTGGTCCAAAAATAAGTAGGGGGTGGCTCCCTCCCTAGATATGCCACTGATCCCAAAACTTGGTGTTATTTAGTTGATCTTGTGAACAACAAGCTGTACCAGACACAGCAAACTGTTTCATTGCCATTTTAACTGTAAGAAATCAACTTGCAGTGGATTCTTCTATTATTTCTTAAAAATCCAGTTATAATTACCTTTGTTGGTGTTTCCCTCCCTTCTACCCTGCAAGCATGCAGTACTGGTTTCTCCAGGCCAGATGCTATGGTACAAAGGGAGAGTTTCGATCTCTCCCTTTGTAGCATAGGGTCCGGCCAGCTGGAGAAACCACTGCTGTATCAGAACAACAACTCACACTTTCAATAGACAAATGTAGAATTTTTTTAAAA